GTTCAGGCCTCTTTCACAACCCGCATGACCTCTATCTAGAACGATCTTTAGCAAGAGTTAATAAACGATGAATCACACATTATTCATCATAATAGTTCATTAGTACACAACCCATGAAACACAAACGGAGAATAAATAAAATATTTCTAACAATAGCCAAAGTACCTGAATCTGTGCACAAAGTTTTGACAGTTTTTCCTTTGGGCTAAAAATAATTACTTCAGTTTCATTTTGATTCAAAGAAAATGATGAGATTCCAGGCCAAGATTTCTTCTATGCAGTCACCCAGGGATAAAATGGGTTCATAGTCACCTGCTGACATTATAATCTGCATAGTTATGCAACAATACGTTTTACAGAAGTTCATCCTGATCCTAAGTAATAAAAATGTAGTCATGATAGTTTGAGTGTGAAGCTGAATATGTGTGTATTTGTTACGTATGGAAATTACAGGGTTAAGGACGCGTTGACAGGTACCCCTCCCCCCTCCCAAACCCGCCATTCCTTCCCCTGCCTGCCGCCACATTGATTGACCTGTAATGAGCCATAATGACAAGTAATCGGCTCTGTAATAATGGTGACAGAGTGATACTGAAGGAGAGAGATAGAAAAGAAACGAAGGGCAGTAAACATAAAGAGGTGGTTGTTTCAGGAGATGATATGATAAGAGATATTAGAGACGGAGAACAAGATGAACGGAAAAGTGAAGAACAATCAGAGTAAATGATGAGGACAGTAGATGGAAAAAAGTCGAGGGGAAGAGAAATGAGAGGGGAGGACAGATGGGAGGTGGATGACCTATTCCTACCACAATACCTCACCGGGTTATCAAATAATTAAACAAAATAAGTGCAGGTTTCTGTGGAAACTTGGCATGCTGAGGATCACACCCACTAACATAAACATTACAAATACTGTGGAAGGATATTAAATGGAGTATATTTAAATCCAAAGTGCTGAGATTCAACCTTGAGAAAGAGGGGAAGTAAAGAAAGCAGGTCCAACAGGTTTTGGACTGAAAAAGGAGAAGAAAAAAAAAATCACAAATTTCCCACGAATACAGGCATAAAACGTTTGTTTTCTTGACCTGGAAACAATACAGAACTTTTTCTTTTTCTTTTTTTAACGGTATGTATAAATATTCATGGACGACTACATTTTAAGTGAGCATATGCTGTGTTTAAGCATTCATTATTAAAGGTTTATGACATTCATTATAATGTTATGCAAAGAAATCTCTTTTGTATCTTGAAAGAAGATACAGAACCATCTACCCTGTGATTCCACATGAAAAATTTTATTTAAAAATTTAATTAAACTGAGTTACTGCAGGCCACAGTATTTGTTGATGTTTTATATTCTAACTTGTATAGTTCTTTTAAATCAGTGTTTAAAAAACAAGAAGCTTTACTGTAAGGAAAGCTTATTAGCTTCATTATTTTCTCATGATTATTCTTCTGCTTCAGAAGTCAGAGTCTGTGCAGATCAATTCTTTTTAAGTAACATTTATTGGGCTAACATGGCAAGAAAAAAAAGGTCAAACTTTTTTTGTGTCACTGCTTATCATGTAAATGACAAGATCTATATTTTTTATGCAACCTTCTAAACATTTCCTCCTGCTAAACACAAACTTAACTCTCTCACAGATAGAGATTACAGGTGCAAAGGCAATGTTACTGGATTCACAGGGATAGCACACAACCTTCTCCCAAAGAGACTGGTAAAGGTTCAGAGAAAGACATCCCGGTTCTGTCATCCTCATAAGACTCGCTGGGAAAGTCATTTTAGAGACCGGAGGTACGGTACATTCTGACAATGTCATCCAGTCTGTTTCCAGGGGAGACATGATTCACTTGAACTAAAACAGGTGGATCATTTAACTGAGAGAAAAAAAACAAAGATTAAACAAAAAAAAAAAAAAAAAAAAAAAAAGTTTTACAGAGTATACCTGCTTTATTTATCATGGGTATAACCCGTTTCTTAGGCCAAGTTTAATAAGAAAGAAAATAATGAATAATAAACATGTC